GTGCTCGATGGACACGATTGGACAAAGTGTCATACTTGGGCTTCTGCTACAAGCAGGTCAGGCACACTGCACGCGAGTGCCTTCCAAATCCTACAGAACGGGCATCAAGTAGTGGTACAAGATTACAGATGCCGTTCTGCACACATTTTAGGTAGACTGCCTAGTAGGTCGTACCTTACCGGACCAGGCAGTAGACACTCTGGATGTCGGTCATGCCTGCCCTGCCACCTCACCTACCTAAATAACTGTACTCCGTATGTACCTTCCGCTACTCCGTCAAGCCTGGAAGGACTTCGCACATCTCTCAGTTCCGACTTTGACGATTTGTACAACCTCATCCGACGCCCAACTCCTTCAAGCAGCACCGCCGCCTTGCGCTAAAGAGGCCACTGCGGTTAACGGGAATCAAAATCAGGCGAGCTGACTTCGAGCACAATCAGCGCCGCCAGGGAACCCGTCCGGGGCTGCCGATGAATTGGCGGTCAACTACGGCTTCTGCTTTGCCTTGGGCTGGATCATGGACCGTGGCCAGGCAGCCGAATTATCGAGGCATGACAGACGTTGACGATGGCAGTGCGTGAAACTTCAGCAGCTGCTTCGTGCGCCCTCTACTGCGCAGCTGTGCAAGCAAATCGTACGAGCACCAAGTACGAATATGCAGCAGGCATGGGAGGCGTGGAGGCATCGGCATGGGCGCCATATTGCCCAAGGTGTGTGTGTGTGTGTGTTTGTGTATGCGTCTGTGAGCTGGCCCTCAGGAGCCGTTGGCCAGGGCCAGGGCGCCATCGTTCGTTCAGACTGCGAACTATGATCGCCCAGTCCAAAGCCGCATGAGATTGGCCACCTCCTCGATCCTGTTCGTACCCCCTCGTGGCTCTTTGCTTGCTCTGTTCCGCCGGCGGTCTGCATCTCTCAGCTGCACCGTCATCCGAGCCGCTTCAGATATTGAATCATGGCGCCGCTTGCTTCTTGATCCCCCATGTCCTGCAAATTGCCGGTCCACCACACCTCTCTAGTGACCCTATTTTCGAATTGCTACTGGACCAAGACTGCCACAACCTTCGAAGAGGCGCATCGCTTGATCGCAACCAAACATGTTCAGGACTCGAGACGAGCGTTGTTGGAGCAGTCAACGATCTGCGGTGAACAAAGCCATCCGCTTCTATTGGCAATTTCACAACGGCCATGCCGACGTCCGGTCTGCGCACACCACGCTCCTGATGGAAACACACACAGCTTCCCCCCACGGGCAGAGCATGTCTGGGATCGTCTCCCCAGCAGCAACTCAACACGCCTCATGTCTTTGCAGGCTGCATCAACCCGCGCAATTCTCTTGTCCGGAATCATTTCCACCAGCATCAGGAGCCTGAATGAAGTAGGAGTACTTCCTACAAGGCGACTGCACTGCTAGGGACCCCAAGTACCGAGCACTCCCTTGTCAGTCAACCCAGTCTTGCCAGTATTGATGCCCGAACAGAACAGCGAGAACCGAAAACAACCGGCATTCTCCCCTAGACAGATCCGCTTTCGCTACCTATGGACCGTTTTACTCCATGTCTAAAGGGTTACTGGTGCAGGGGACGGCTGCCTACTACTAGTAAACAGTGCCGACCTTACTTACCATCAACTCAACTAACAACGCAGCCAGCACTTTGTTCCTACGGGCAGGGTGTTAATCAGAGCGAGGCCATACAAGGATACGGTTTACCAGAGTCATTCTTCAGCCCGCGAGCGTCCTTGTCAATAGCCCATGCAACAAGTCTCCTAGCCAGCATTGCGAATACTCCGAACCCCGTCGCCCACTTTATACGGAGTGAACATGCCGCCACTCCGTCTTAACTTTCCGGAGGCGCCATCACTAATTACTTCAAGGTGGGTAATATGATCATGGTCCGTTTTACAGCTTCAAGCGGGTGCTGCGCGTACTACAATGTACTTGTATTAACGTGGCACAAATGAGAATGAGCAGACTCCCACGCTGCCAAAATAGAACAGGGCCACTTCGGGTTCATCCCACACAAGGCACCGTGGCGTACATGTTATCAATAAGTTGGCTTCACCAGGTCTGCAATTGATATTAGTATCGTCATATACAACTACGTACGTCTGAGGATGGAAGTTCTGGACACCTTGGTACGGAGTATGTACAATTACGAAGGGGTCGAACCCACAGCGGCTTTGCTGGCTCGACACGGCGTCCCCAGAATCATCCCTGTCAGACGACGTCGTCCCAGGAGCCGTTCCCCGGCTGGGACATCATATCTCACATCTGTCTGTCATCGCGGACGTGCATCAGAGTTTTGTCCGTTACCAATCGCGTGGAGCAGTCCGAGACCAGCACTTGGAGTACCCTCCCGACGAGCCCACCAACCAGAATCAATGCCAAATTCCACATGCAGAGAGCGTCTTCTTTTACACATGGCAGCACAACCTGACAAGTACTGACTCCACGTCTGCTGCTGGAGAGCGGACCTCTACAGAGCAGCTTGCTACAACTACTACTATAACATGCTGCTGCGGCTGCTGGGCCTCGTCGACATTCTCCTCTTTTCACGCCTTCTTCCCCCCTCCTCTCCGACGTACCACACGCAAGTCGTCCTTGATCCGAGCAATAGAAGGCCGTGACGTGGCGGCGGTGAGTCTTTTGGTCAGGCGCCAGGCGCCATGATGTCCCCAAAGGACGGGGGGATCACCGAAGCTTGGGAGGAGATTGAGGTGATACGTAGCCAGGGTAGCATTGCCTCTTCATGCTTGGCCGGGGTCATCCCACCAGCAGGGTCCGGGGTGCTGTTTCATCCCAAGTGGCCTACGGAGCAATTCAGCAGCCTCCAAAGACAAGCAAGACAACATGTCCTTTATCAATCGATGAGCACACATATCCGCGGCCAGTCAATGGCATCCAGGCAATTGTGCATCGATGAAGCAACTCCCAACCTTGGCACAAAGACTGAAGCATGTTCTCCATGCTCGCTCACCACTAGACGAGCACAGGGAGTCTCGAGGGTTACCTTTTCTTCATCCTTTTGATGAGGGAACGGAGAGCTGATGGCTGTCAATTATACTACTTGTGAGTTGTCATTTCCTTGAAACCAACGTGCTGCACCGCTGCCTTGGTTCTGTCGACGGAGCACGCTCCGATCTAGATGGTCGACAGGGCTGCCGTCTGTTGTGTGACAGGAAAATTTCGGCACACCAATGGGTTGAGGTGTATTGGTCTGCGTTTGACCAATGAGCCAAGAGTCACACACAGGATGCTCACAAGCAGGTATGCGAACTCGACGTGGTTGGTCGATCTCGTCACCGCCCCCAAATGAGAAATTCCTTCGTCACAAAAGACTACATCATAGCAGTTCCTGTGACGCTGGCACTTTCAGGGTAATCTGGAGATGATCCCATCACTCAGTACGAAGCGCTCGGCATGAAGTACTGCGAGTGTATTTTGCCCTCTTTTCTTCTCCCTCTTACTCACTTGCTTGCTTGCTTGCTGATAGCGTCATGAGCGAGCAACGAAGTTAAAAGGTTTCGTGGTATCTAGGCCCGCCGGCTTACTCTGGAAAGCGACCGGGCAATTTGGTGAATTCTACGGTGTACTACTGCTGCTACTACCTAGATACCACGTCGATGACTCGGCATACCCGCCCTTGTACTTGATGCTCTGCACATGCATTCCAGGTAGTGCAGAATGCAGAGTGCAGAGGACAGAGTAGCATCGACGTGCATCGATCCGGTCTAGCACTTGGGCACTCAGATCCTATCCTGAGCCTGCGACCTCCTCTCGCACTCACACGCACCCACCCAGCCAATGCTCCGATGCAAACACAGGCCACCCGGCCAATCTGGTCATTTATGACATGGCCAGCGTGGTATCGTATATAGCCGTCGGCGGATACCCCGAGGCGGGTGATACAGCCGGAAGAGCAAGGGTCTCGGAGTCGTGTCTGTTTGTTTGCCATCGGCCATGTGGGTAAGGGTTCTGCAGGGCCCCGAGCGGTGCCCAAGTCCCGAGCCGGCTTTGGATGCTTCTACAAGCATCGACGGAAATGCTGTTGCTTCTTGTTTTGCCGAGGACGTGCGTGAAAGGGCTGGACTTGAGATGGACCCAGCTGCTGTCTCCTTGAAGTAAGCTTTCCTCTCTCTGTCTGTGGCTGGCTTGTTGCTTTGGCCGATATGGTTTTGTAGAGAGTAGCAAAAGATAAAGGTTTGCCCGATGTACTCTGCAGGCCATCGCCATCTGTGGGATACCCAGCCCAAGGCAGCCATGAGGCCAATCGTTGTCCCATTAAGCCATAGACCCTTGATCCGAACTGACACAATAGAGGGTCCTGAAGAATATGATTAGGTATCGAGATTTGAGAGATTCGTGTTTCCATTAACAGATGTAAGGATTGCAGGCAGCCAAGGTAGAGTTCACTTGATCCATCACCAACCTGAAGTACAAACTTCGAAGTATCAAATCGAAGTGCCTCCAAATGTCAGTTGATGCCGCCAGCTGTGGCTTGTCTGTGGCGCGAAAGGCCTTGGCGAGGAAAGCACTTCGTTGTTGCCTTCCACCGTTAGTAATTGGCCGAATGTGAATGCCTGAAAAAAAGGCCATATAATAATTTGGCAGGCAGGTGAATAGTAACTGTCTCTTTCTCTTCCTTTGAGACTCGCCATAATTCTCCTCCTTCAACGGCTTCTCGCCATCTGCACCGGCTCATCCACGCATCGCATCGCTGCTCAGAGGCTTGATTGTCACTGGGCCACTAGCGAGGAATTTGTTCTGCTCCATTCTGTGCTTTGGACGCTCCAGGGGCCAAACCCCGCTAGTTTGTCCGAAGAGACGGTGGAAAACTGCCACTTCTTTAGGCCTCCTCAAAAGAACTCGATACCAGGCACCAACACAAGTGATTCGTTTGAGCGACAAACAACACGCATCTTAGCCAGACAAAAAGGCCCCCTTGCTTGAAACGGCCAAGAAGAAGGATACGCACATTCTCACAACTCTCCCAACGAACACCATGGCGGACGTCCCTCTGCTGGTCATCTCGGAGTACGCTTCTTCCGAGCGTCGCATCACGCCGTCGTGGACAATCTTTCAGCTCAAGACCAAGCTCGAGCCCGTCACCGGCATCCCTCCCTCGTGCCAGAGGCTCAGTCTCAAGCAGTCGTCCGGGGCGGAAAAGATCCCAATCGAAGCAGCGGACGATGATGCCGTCCATCTGTCCAGCTTCCCCCTGGCTCCGTATGCAGAGCTGCATGTAAGTCAGCCGTTTTCGATTTCATTAGCCGCCGAGCGCTTCCACTGGCCAGGGATGAGGCGTTTGACTTCATGCCGTGCTGGGCAGCGCAATTTGTCTCTGGGTTTTGCCCTCATCTCTCTATCTCTGTTTTCTTGTTCCTCAGCCTCTGCCTCATGCCCCTTTCTCTATTCTCTACGTGTGCGTGGGGGGAGGGGTAGGGGAAAGGTTGCTTTGCAATCAACTCGGCGCCTGAAAGAACACGGGGGTGAAATCCCAAAGCGGGCCTCTCATGGAGGGCTTTGGGCAGCCAAACGTCTTCTCCTCTAGACCCTGCTATCCATGATGGAGCAGCCTCTATGTAGCATTCGCTGGGGATGCAGACGGCAGAGAAGAGGGGGGCGTCGCCTGGATGGAGACGAAGCTAACACGCCATGTTTCCGTAGGTCATTGACACCCGCCCACCAACAGCCAGGCCCAACTTCACCGATACTTCAGGCGTGGACAAGTATGTGATGCCTGATGAGGAGTACGAGAAGAAGACGGACTCGGTCCTGAATTGGAAGAAGACGGAGAAACTTGGCCGATTTGACCCTACAGCGCCAAGCCGCGAGGAGGCCAAGATCAAGGCTCTCAAGGACGAAATCGCCCAGCGCGGCATCGAAGTTGGCAAGAGATGCCGCGTCGGTGGAGAGGACACTCGGCGAGGTGTGGTCAAGTACGTTGGTGACGTTGAGGAGATTCCTAACGGTGCTGGGCCGTGGGTGGGGGTTCATCTGGACGAGCCTGTGGGGAAGAATGACGGTAGCATCGCGGGCAAGCGTTACTGGGGAGAGCCCTCAGAGCTAAAGCATGGCGTCTTTGTGAGGCCGGACCGGGTTGAGATTGGAGATTTTCCGGCTCTGGATGATCTTGAAGATATGGAAGAGATCTAAAGATGGTTACCTGGTACGAGTACTACAATACACACAGCCAATTCAGCGTCTCGGCAAAAAGGCTCATTACGTTTCGATGCGCTTCAAATATGGGACAGAGACGGCCAACAACCAGCATGGAGTTACAGGCAAAATGCGGCATGCACTCATTCTCTCAAGTGGCATGCAGGGCTGACGACGAAACACACGTATCACATCAGTCCGGAGTGAACGCCATTCTAGAAACATGAGCTGTGCTAAAGAGGCTCCTGTTTCCGACGTGGACCTGGGCGCACTAATGCGGAGGATGAGGGCCCCCTTCTCTAATCAGATGCTGCCACGGAACTCATTTTGTCTCCATCCCTGCGCCTACATGTGCAGAGCCCCATGGCTTTCGTGGTGGCGGCTCTATTTATATGTATTGCATGCAAGGGAAGCGTTGGCTGATATCATAGCAACGCACTTCGAAACTTGCGCAGATCATGCGAACACGGAGAGAAAGGCACGACTGCCGGGTGAGCGCCAAACGGTAAGCTACTACGTACATACGGAGGGAGATTCTCGTGCGGCGTTTTTGCCTCTTTCCGTTGTGCATCTCATCCCCAGCAGCTGTGGATCGTTTGGACTCTACCGTTGACCCACGAACCTCGATTCTCTACATTGCCATGGCTACCTTGTTCCTTTAACTGGACAACAGAAGAAAACTCGAGAAGAGGAGGGGTGTGGCAGCCGTTGGAGTGAGCCTGCACCTAGGCTCATGCAAGTCCGTGCTGGGAGCGCTTGTCTACCTATCATCGAGCTTATGGTCGATGTTGATCCATGTCTGGAAACCGTTCTTGGAACGCGGCTCTGCAACGGACGGATGCCACTGGTACAAGAAGCAAAACGGCCAAGACCAAGACGCTGCACTACGAGTGATGGCATTGGATGCCAAGGAGCCAGTGGCTGGTATGAGGATGCAAGTTATATGATGGGCGGCGATGATCTCGTGTCGTTTCAGTGCCTTCGCTCTCTCTCTTGCTGCTGAGCTGGAGCTGAAAAGGTAACATGCGATTGCCGGGGTATCGGAGACCCTGTTCAAGGCAGCCAAGGAGCTGAATCCATCAACTGATATTGGGCAAATTGCATGGCGCAGGACTCATAACACTGGTACCGTATACCGTGCTCGCAAGAGGTTGCCATCTTTTGGGGATAGACTCGGGGGTTCCTTTCGCGCTGTGTCTTTGTTTGCTGGTAAGCCGTAAGCGAGGCATCACTCCGGGGAGGATTCAAGTGAGCTGAGCCCCATAGAGTGATGCTGCTACTAGCTTCAGTCTGTTTAAGCGCCATAAACGATGCGGAACGGACGGGTAAGCAAGCTGTTCCCTTTCATACAACGCGGATGCTGATCAGTTGCTGCAGTTGGATCAACATCATGCCATGAGCAGTGTCACAACATCACGGGAAGGACGAATCGCCTTCAAGAGGCGTTGTTTGTTGGCAACTTTGCAGGACGCCACTCGACAGGGCCTCAGTCACGGCCTGGCCGTTCGGTCATGGGTTGATAGGTGAGGCGGCTGTTTGCCATGATACAACAACGGATGGGATTTGCGCCGCTCCATCCACCAAGCCCCCCTTCTTTGATACCATGGACTCTTCCGGAACATGAGGCAACGGCCAATGAGCAAGCGGAGCATACTAGCTTGTTTGTTATGGATACGACAGGAGGGAGCCTATTGTCCTTTTTTTGTGTGGGATGTTGCGATGGCTTCTCCACGGGTGTGTTGCTCGTAAGAGGAAGGTTTCCAAGCTTGACTGAACGTTACCATGGACCACCCTGGGTGGTAGTACTAGTAGCAACAAGCTTGCGGCCCTGCTACAAGATGCTCTCGGGCCCTGGCTTTGCGATCCGACCCTGAGAGAGCATCCTGAAAGCGATTTGACTTGGATGCAGTTACGGGGACCCGCCCACATGGAGTGGTTAGTATCTGCACTCTTTCCAACGTATTGACTAATTGGCGGGCTCTTATTGCTGGCGACTGAGCACTTGCTTTTAAGACACAAGCTCCGACTCAAGAGGCAAAAGGGAAGACTTTCTACTCACGATTTGCTGTTAGCACGGGATAATATGGCAGTCGATGCTTCGTACAGCTTATATCGTAACGTCCCTTACCTTGCACATGTGTCGAGGACGCAACTGATACATAAGGCGCGCGTAGTAAGCGTTTGGGTTGGAAGTCGGAGGTCACTGGCATCAGACATGCAGAAAGCCAAAGAAGAAGAATGGTATTGGAATCGTACTAATTTTGCTTACCTATCTGCAGTTACAAATGAGTTTTATTCGTCTCCTTCAAGTGCCGCGCCCTTCGTGATGCCTGTTGCTGTTTTGCTGTGCTATCAGCTTGTGATTGTACAAAAGTAGTACTTGCAGCGCTCGGTGAATTGGCAGAGGCCAACCAATGAGCGGCCCGCCAAAACACCGAAACGGTGTCGAATTCGCCGCTTTCCGAGCTTCAACTTCACGCTTGAACAGAAGGATTCAAGGTCGTCGTCATCGCTCACTGAGGATTCATGTAAGCTTGTCGTCAACTCATACATACAGTCTTTGATACTTTGAGGGTTCGATTCTCGTTCAACCGTCATTTCGTGTTCCAAGTGGAATTGGGCATTCTGGCCCTACATGTAGACAGAAAACACCAAGTCCCACAGTCACCCAAGTATCAAAGCACGAAGTCAAATCACCATGGATCTCTTGTTCCAGCAACCGCAGCCTCAACAGCAAGATCCCCCCACCGTCCATAACCCTCCAAATAACGTGCCCGAAAAGAAACGTCGTCGCCCGCCACTCTCGTGCGAGCAGTGCAGGAGACGAAAGGTCCGCTGCGACCGCTCCCAGCCGTGCAACAAGTGCGTCGAGTCCAACGCCCCGAGCTGCACTTATGCGCCGGTTCACATCCCTGCGTGGCGAGCCAAGAAGCTGGATCTCGCAGCAAACACCATCGGCAATGGCGGTAGTAGTAGTATCAACAATTCCAATGGCGGCGGTGATGCTGCAGCTGCTGTCGACGGAGGATCGGCAAAGCCTCACAAGCCGTTGAGGAACCTCAAAGCAGCCGAACCCCGACCCGAGACATTCGACAGCAGCGGCGTCTTGCATTCGGATCTCCCTTCTTTCAGCACCAGTCTCGACTCCACCAGCGCGTCCTCTAAGCTGGTCAGCTCCAACGCCGGGACTTCGTCAGCCGCCTCCTCACCCAACGTCGACTGGCTGGTTGCGCGGGTTCAGCAGCTCGAGGAGAGGCTTGCCAAGGCTCTGCGCCTCAGCGATGCCCCGGACGCGCAGAAGCGGCTCCAGGCTGCTCCGGAGATGACGGAGCCGGCGGAGGGATTCGTGGCCAAGTCTCGGTTCTACGGGCACAGCCACTGGCTGTACGGAGTCAACATTGTAAATCTTGTCTCCTCCTCTTGCTTCCTCTTCACATCAGATGTATGTGACACTAATGCGATCCCCGCCCAGCTCACTGTTGAGCAGGACCTTGTCGGCCAGGAAAAGGTCAACCAGGGCGAGCTATGGGCCACGCTCGGCAGATGCAAGGCCCTCGGCCGCAAGATCAAGAAGAACCGCCTCCGGCCTCTCTCCTCCACCAACCTGGGGGCGCAAATCCCCGAGCGGGAGCTGGCGGACGTGCTGGTCGACAACTATCTCCGCACCTTTGAAGGCGTCTTCCGCGTCGTCCACATTCCGACGTTCCGGGCCGACTACGCGCGGTTCTGGGAGGACAGCCACCCGTCCAACGAGTCCTTTGCGATCCTCCTCCAGCTCGTCATGGCTCTTGGGGCGGCGCTGTACGACGATGTCTTCTCCCTGAGGCCCATGGCGACGCAGTGGATTTTCGAGGCGCAGATGTGGCTGATGATGCCGCCGGAGAAGAAGAGGATCAACATGGAAGGCATACAGATCCAGTGTCTGCTGCTCCTCGCCAAGTCGACGTGCAACGTCGGCGCGGACATGGTCTGGATGATGGCCGGAAACCTGGTGAGGAACGCCATGTTCGTTGGTCTCCATCGCGATCCCCAATATCTGGGGGATCTGACGGTGTATCGAGCCGAGATGCGGCGTCGTCTGTGGGCGACTGTGCTGGAGCTGAACTTGCAGTTCTCCTTTGAAGGCGGCGGCTCGCCACTGCTCTCCACAGCACACTACGATACCCTTCCTCCCGCCAATCTCAACGACGACGAGCTTACAGATGAAAAGGACAGCGCCAGGCTGACTGTCAAGAGCCCAAAGGTGCCAACCCAGACTTCCGTTCTGCGGGCTCTGGTGGCCACGATACCCCTGCGCATGAACCTCATCACCCACGTCAACAGCACCAAACCGGGCGATCACTACGAGGAGACGCTGCGACTGAATTCAGACCTGACAAAGTCCTGCCGCGCCGTCTCAGAAACCCTGCTCTCTCTCCAAGCCGCACCGCACTCACCAATCACGCCGTTCCATGTCCTGGTGACGGAGATCCTCCTCTACCGCTGCTTCCACGCCCTTCACCAGCCCGTCATCGTCAAGCATCTAGACGACGCCAGGTTCTTCTTCTCCCGCCAGATGTGTCTCGACAGCGCAATGAAGATCACCCACATCTGGGGCCTGCCCGACGCCTGGACGGGAGACAAGGAGACGGCGGCCAAGGCCATGGACGCCGACCTCAAGCGGCTCGTCACCAACGGCACCGGCTTCTTCCGCAACGTCGCGACGCAGGCCATGATCATCATCCAGATCGAGCTGCTCAACGCCAAGGCCGGCCAGGCCACCAGCCTGGGCTACCTCCCGACCGTCGGCAGCGCCAACCTGCATGCGCGCCTCAACGCCACGCGGACGTGGTCGCTCGAGCGGGTGCGCGCGGGAGAGACCAACATCAAGGGCATCATCCTCATGACGGCGTGCCTCGCGCACGTCAAGGCGCTGGAGCAGGGCGTCGACGCCAAGCACAAGACGCGCATGATGTTCCAGGCGGCCCTCGACATCAGCCAGCAGTGCCTGGAGATCCTCAAGGGGGTGGCCGAGCGGGAGGGCCTGCCGAGGAGCGAGTGGGAGGACGGCGGGGCGGGCGCGGTGCTGGACGAGGCTTCGGTGACGAGCATGGCGATGGACTGGATGCAGGAATGGAACTGGGATGATGGTGGTGGGCAGGGGATTTCGTTTCCGCAGTGGGAGGCTGATTTCGAGGGGGCTGAGTTGATGGATGATTTGGGGTTTGATGTCGTGCAGTTTTGATGATCGAACTGGATGATGCTGTCAAAGAAAGATAGTTGCCCGAAGACGCTACTCTATCACGCACTTTTGTTTGTTTCTGAAAGATGAAAATCAATGAGACTCGCTACTCTAAAGATACGCCTCCCTTGCTTCGTACCCGCTTTCTGGCTACCATTATCTGCGGAGAAGCAAGACAATTTGTCTCTCAGCTGCCACATCACCAGGTTTTGACTCAACTTGATACAGTAACTCCACGTCGACTGTCTTACTTGTACTCCTTGCACACCAGTGCCGTCTTTTCCGGCTGCTCGTTGAATGCTGAAACTTCTTCGAGCGTTGAAGTAACACAGCGTTTGTCTTGATTCTTTACTCTCCCGGCGAGAGAATAAGCCTATAAGAACGATCGAGGTCGCCAGCGGATTAAACAGACATCGCCCTACGTCTGCCCCCCTTTTTCTCAGCACTTCCTGACTGACGAAAAAAAGAACCCAATCCAACTCGCGTCAACTCTCAGCTTCTCAGAATCCCCAACTCAGTTCAAACAAAACAAACCTCCCATCTTCACCATCCCAGGAGGAAAAAAAAAGAAAAAATGGCCCCCTCAACCACCAAAACCCTCCTCCTCGCCCTGACCCTATCCCTCCTCGCCACAAACCCAGCCACCGCCGCCGCCTTGTTGGGAGAAGAAGACCACGAAAATGCCCCGGAAGCCAACAACAACACAACCGGCGGCGGCTGCACAACCACCAGCACCCTCACCCTATCGCGCCTCTCCACGCCCCCTTACTGGCCGCAGTGCTCCTGGGACGGCACCCTGAGCATATACTCGTCCACCGCGACGGCGACGCGCTCGGTGGACTGCCACGGCTGCACGGACGTTCGCATCACGGCGGTGCCGGCGGTGCACTGTCCGGCCAAGATCATTTCGACGATTGTGAGGGTTGGGACGGCCACGACGACGTATAAGACTGTTTGTTCGGTTACGCCTGCTGCCTCCCACTCCTGAAAGCCTGGGGCGGCCTCAATTTTGATTCATGATGGGGGATTAAAAAGTTATGAGGAGGGAAAGAGGTGTGTGTGTCTGTGTGGCTTTGGAAAGGCTGTGTGTGTAACTATGGGACGAAAGATGATGATGATGGGCATTTGTTGTATGAGACCTGTGAAGGGAAAGGGAACAGGGTTGTGTAATTTGGGCGATGAGGGCTGTTTGTATGGGGGAGCTTGAAACGGTCTCGAACCAACTGGAAGGGTTCTTATCAAATGGACTTCCCTAGGCTGTCAATAGAACGAAGTTTCTTCACTGGGAGAATTCGTAACAGTTGTCTCCTGACAAGGCTGAAAGGG